TATAATTTTGTGAACTACTAAAAAGTCGGTCAATTATTAAATCTAGATAGACTAATCTCCATAGATTAGACGCTGAAGCTTTATAATGTTTCACATCGTTAAACATTGTGCTCATGTAACCGTTCCGTCTCCTGCATGTCCAATTTATAGTGTTGCTACCATAAAAATGTGTAGAGAGCTGCATGGCAAACTTACAATAATTTAAAATCGTTGAATAATCGTGAAAATTCAAAGCAAACTAAACAGATCAGGGTAAGGGCAGTTGCAAACTTTTTCATATGGAACTACTCTTACCTATTAAAATATTCGTCAAGTTTTACTCATAATAAGAATATTTATGTTAGTTAAAATTTCAAACATGTACATTTTTAAACATCTTAATTATTTTTCGAATCTTAGAATTTCAATGAGAATTTATGTATAGAATTAACAAAATAAACAGATTAACAAAATAAATTAGGTGAAGAATATCAGGAATCTTTAAAATTAATGTTTAAAGAAATAAAATCGATTGTCATGTACAATTTAAGAGTGTTGCAGTTGGTATGATGGCATATTCAAAATACTATACGACACAACATATTCAAGTGGCTTTTATTCATATTTCAAACGGTATACCAGATCACATGTTAAAATTCCAACATGTCAACTTTCTGGTGAGACTGGAATGTAATGGCTCACATGAGCTAATAAATAGAGTAAGTACATTGTTTTAATTAATATTTATATGTTAAAACCCAGACAAGTAGCTTGAGAAAAACCATGTATTAAAAGTGCCGAGGAAATTTAAGTGCTTATATAATGTGCCCCGAGAAACGTGGGCATGCTTCCTATAAGGAAATTCGGCCCTTAAAACGGGCCACTGAAAATCGGTTTTCAGTTAATAACTTTGAAAGTAGATACTTGGAATAATTTGATATATATAACTGATGATATGATAACAACTGGTGTGATGCTTTTTCCCTCCAAAAGTATCTCAATCAGCTTAAAATTTATATTTTGCAAAAATTAACTTTTATGAATAAAAACTTGAAAAAACGCTTTAAAGATGTAAACGGTCAAATAAAAACATTATTAAATATATTTTTTCTTGAAATTTATCCAGACATGACTACTCGTTTCTAGATAAAATCGTCCAAGAGATATTGAATATCGCATCAGCCATACATATCGAATAGTTTTCGAGAAGAGTTACGCGTTGTTATTAACATAAGCGTTTTGATTGAAAATACGAATATCAAGAAAGAACTGTTGCATTCATTTTTTAATTGAAAAATCTTTTTTTTTTACGTAAAACGTGGAATAATGGTGGTATTCTATATTTTCAAATGCGTCAGGCTCTTTCGTATTAAAATGGTTTAAAGCAAACATTATCTAGAGGAATTAAAGAATAAAGAACATCGCTTGCAAGTCGCTTTAGTTATTCCAGACGCATATGAATTGCAGATGTTTGGGACAAATTCTGCATTAAAAGCCCCATATGGACGGGTAGTTTTTAGAGAAAAAATCGCTACTACTGAAGCAAAAGCATGTTTTGTTAATGACCCATCGGAAATAGTTCCAAAATGTCAATGTTTATTTGTAAAGAGTGTCTCGTGTGAGTTTATCAGCTGATATAAATGTGTTTCTATCTCAGATTAAACAGGATTGTACCTCTTTGAATTTTTCTATAGAAGCCACAATGGTTCATTTTATCGATGTCACACAAAAATATCATTTTTTTTCTCTAAAAATATAAAAAAATGTTGCAACATCTTATGTTTTAGTTGCTTTCGCAAAATGTGAGCAAATGCAGATCGTGCGTAGTAGTCTTTATACAGACGGTGATATAACAGTTCAATGGTAGTTTAACAATTTTGAAAAAACTGAAAATAAAAGTTTTGCGCACCCATTTTGATATGTAGTTTCTGAATCAAGTTTGAAATTGTTTTGAAATAAAATTAATTATATAATAAAGATGCTTGTTAAATATGAAAAAAGATAATTTATTCGAGTTATTTAAGGTGTTGAAGTTTCGAGATTTTTTATATAGATCTGTGTCCAGATTTACAAGCCACAGAACGTGCATAAGAGCAACGAATATTTATTCTGTGACAAAAAGATCGATTTGATTTTATAAATACTCTTTATTTATAGAAGCAAAAAAATAATTGAATATACTAAGTCTGGAAAAAAATGTTTTACACAAGAATGCATTTTACAATCTAATGAGCATAGAGCATTTTTAGGCACTGAAACACAATATGTTTCGAAAAAGTAACGTTTGGATCTTTCGCGGGAAGTTGAATGAAGTTCCTGATAAGTTTTACTCAAAATATAACCGAGTTTTTGTTATGCGCCCTGTAAATAAAACAGCTGTGGAGGTATACAAGATATATCGAATTACACAATTTTCTCCAAAACTGATCGTCGAGCTTTTCCAAATATGGTCGCTTGTGGATGACAGTATGCTTTACTACAAGGACCTTAGTGGATCGATCACGAACTTGATGAAAGAACCTATTCGAGTATCGTATGCTTTTCTGTCTAATGATTCAATTAATCATTTAACGGACTATAGGTAATGAGGAAAAGCGAAATAATATTCTTTATTCATATGATCAACTCTACAGGGATCCACAAGAAGATCAAGCTGCCAAGATTGTTTCCCTTTTAATTGAACAAATTTGTATTTTATTCAATGCAACTCACCAACCAATCATTCGCAAACATTGAAGAACATTTAAAATTAAAAAAATAAAAGCTACACTCCAGAGAATATGTTTGCCGACCTACAAACAGGACTTGCCGACATATCAGGTATATCTAGTCACAGGGTGATTCAAATATTTACAGAATGTATATTTTTTGCATATAGAAAGTTTTGCGAAAAAGTTGAATCTGTTCATCGTTTGCATATAACATTCATTTCAACTCCTCCATCCGAAGCTGCACCCATTTTTTTGTCATATTGCTAAAGCCCGTGTCCCATGCATCAGTTTATACGAGAGAGCTGTCAGTGCGGACGACCGCGGACGAATTGATACATCTCCAACCAATAGAAACACTTTCGTATCATCGTACCATCGTATAAACGGATCCATGGGACACAGGCTTTAATAGCAGATTAATAGTATATTACGGTATAAGAAACAAGTGGTTGACGGAGGGGCGGAACTTCGACTTTTGTCTTGCGTACCGTAGGTATATTATTTTGCTTGATCCTCGGTAGAAACTAACCGGGAAAGGTCTAAGGTTTTGAAAATGTTGTCAAAACGGTCAGCTGACACAGTAACAAAGTCAAACTGTCAGTGTGCGTGGCGAAAGTTATTAGGTACTTTCGCTTACTTCGATAATAGAAGGAAACCCGTCGAATGGCCTCTCAGGTCTTCGGATTTATCACTTATGGACTATTTCTAATGGGGTTATAAAAAATATTCTTATTTCTCTTAAAACGAAAAAGTTTAGGTATTTTTAATTTTTCATTAGAAACAATTTTTGTTATTAAAAATATAGTTCTTTGCATTATACGAGGGTCGTTTGATAGGTCAGTGACATTTTTAATGAAGAAAATTTTTTTCGGTCAAAAAACGTTTTATTCCTCAACATAATTCCTTTTAGCTCGATGCATTTAGTCCAGTGTCTTTCCAATTGTTTTATTCCTTCCAAGTAATATAACTTCTCGAGGTCCTCAAAATATACGTTTGTTTCAATGATGACCTCTTCATTGAACTCAAATGTCTTACCGTCCAGCCATTTCCTCAGGTTTGGAAACAGGAAAGTGACAAGGGGTCAAATCTGGAGAATATGCTTGGTGGGGTAGCGTTAGAATACATACGTGTACACCCGTGCATTGTCCTGATGAGACAGCACTTTTTTCGCCAAATGCGGCCGTTTTAGCTGCAAGTCAACATCGCATCTGTCCAAAAGCTCTGAATAATAATTTACCCTTTTCAAGCTAATCGATGTGAATGACACCGCGTGCATCCCAAAAAACTGTGGTCATCACCTTGTTGGCCGACAGACCCATTTTGGCCTTCTTTTGGTGCACGTTCACCTGAAGAAACCCACTGTTTTGATCGTTATTTGGTCTTTGGTGTGTTGTGATGGATCCACGTTTCGTCAACGGATAAAAACGGTCACACGGGAGCGCTTATGATCAAGTGTCAGGAAGCGCGGCACCCATCGTGCGGATACCTTTTTCATGTCCAAATATTCTTGGAAAATGTGATGTAACCTCTCAGTTGAGATAGCTACAGCCTCCGCCACCCCACAGACTTTGTTTTGGACGACCTGAACGTTCTGTGTCATTTGTGCTGATACGACCACAACTAAACTCATTAAACCACTTATTAACCATTTAAGTTGATGGTGCACAGGTCCCATAGCATTTATCAAGCTTTTCCTTTGTTTCTTTGCTTTGCTTTGCTTCTTTACGTAAAAAATAATGCTTTATTAGCACTAGAAATTAACTTTTTCCATTTTCGTCGAAATTTACTAATTCATCTTCTTTCAATGACAGTTTCAACAGACGACAGTTGACGGGAGTAGTGTTGAATTTAAAGGTACTGCGCGAGAAATTCAAAAAGTCACTGACTTATCGAACGACCCTCGTATCTCAAATTTGAAAGACGCTGTATCGATTTTTCTTCCGTCAGGAAAAGCACAATGTAGAATAGTAGCTGACGCGTCTGATTATATTTCTTAAGAAAAACTTGTGTTTTGTGGCCTGGTATTTCCACTTAGAGACTCGCACTGAATACTGGCAATAAAATGTATTTCAGGCAATACTGCAGCAATAAATGAAGAAAGGCTGCATTACTTTCGATTTTTACCACAAACCGGAATTGTCAATTTAAACAGATTGAAGTGGTTTTTCGTTGCGCCTCCACTTTCTTCTACGGAAAATATATGGCTTTTGCCCTTTGTAACGGTCAGTCAAGTCCCTCCTTTTAGGCAACTAATCAACAAGCAAACTGCTACTTTTTTTGTAGAATGTGTGGGTTTTGGTAACTTTTGTGATGATCGTATGGTACCTCGTACTTGCAGTGGTTATCAATTTCGAAATGAAATTGAGAAACATGGGCTCGATTAATGAAAGGAGTTGCTTTGTTGCAGCAATCGATCTTTTGGTGACGTCATTTACCCAAAGAGGTGTGTATAAGATTTTTGAATAAGAAAAAAAAATACGGAATGAGTCAAAATTGGTGGTCCAGAAAAAATCGTCAATCATGCAAAATTAGTCAGTGAAACTTAGAGGGAACGAAAAAAAATTTCAGAGCTTTTTTTCTGTGCGTCAGTTTGTATCAACCTGTATACAGTGTGCCCCATAAACATGAATATGGTACAGCGGAATTATTTGAATCAAAAGAAAGCGATCTGGCCAAAATTAATTCTTTAGGACTCCCAGAAAGTCGAGTGAATATGCTTCCTTTTTATATCTATTTGTGTGATAAATTATTGCATAAATAATGCAATTCATGCACGATAGTGCACAAAAGCACCATTGTGTCGAATCAAGCACTATCGGGCCACTAAGCGCGCCTATCGAGAAGCAAATCTTCCATTAAAGTGAAAAATTTAGATGGAATTTTGAGGACGCCGTCGATAATCTCGGTCAACACGTTTGTCCTTAATACATTCTAAAACTGATTAAAAACGGTATTCTTCCGTGTAATGGTGGATGTTTTGTGGATTAAAACGCCACTTCTGACGAAACCGGCTTTATCAATGATTAAAACTATATCTACCAGTGAAGTCTAGGTCACATACTCTAAATCTTTAATAAAGCAGAAAAATTGAAGTATTCTATCAAAACAGAGTTGCAGAAAATGAAATGAAAAAAGGAGAAGGTGTTGTCTTAATGAAGTGTCCCTTTTTACAGCAAGACACTAAATAATCTACCACTAGCCCAACGTGAAGTCCACTTTTCTGCCGACATTGCAAAGAATATAATTTTTTTGAAGAACTTGGACGATCAATAGCAAAAAGGGTCGACCCGTTTTTCTTTAAAAAGTTGGGTCACATCGTCTTCTTTTGAGCCAAATAAGCAGGGACAGATAAGCAGCATTATGGTCATGTAGTTACGGGACATTTTGTACAACATTATTATTTTCAGCATCTTACATAACGTTAACTACACATACCGGGAGGATCGCGTGCTACAGTATCTATATTTTTCTAATGTTGATAAATGTGGCATATACGGCACATTTCTTGGTTTTATTACACTCGGCAACCAAAAATGTGCAACGATTTGATGACCTACTGGATAAAAATATTGCTTTGGGTACCGATTCGGTATCATATAACACTTACTATTTCCTGGTAGGTAGAAATAAGTTGCATTTATTCAAACTTTTTATGACTTGAATATTTTAGAACCCTAGTGACTTGGTGCAGGAAGCTACTCGTCAAAGAATTTACCAGTACGCTTTGAAACATAGTAATCGATTTTGGCTTAATGCCTCGCAAGGTATTAATTTCGTTAAGCAAGGAGGATATGCCTTTCATATTGCCAGCACTGTTGGGTATGTTTGAGCAAATGTAATTCCGACTCGTGCTACGTTTGGCTTTCAGATATGTTGAAGTTGCTAAACAGTTTGACGAAGCAACAAAACGATCTCTGCGTACAATTGATTCAGTAATTCAATTTTTAACGTACATATGCGTTCC